CGAGATCTTTTTGCTCGTTTGATCGAGTAACAACCATCAACGTTCGCCGTTTGCGACACTTTTCAAACACCGCAAGAGCATGTCGCTTGGCGAAGAGATACTCGCGCGACGACTTGGTGGTGTGTGCATCGTTTGGTAGACGAGAGAGACATTCACCGAGGACTGCACCGTCTTCGAGGGCCATGCCCGCCCTGTGTGGTCTATTTCAGCTCGACTTCCCAGTCAAAGGATATATAGTACCTACCCTGCTGCAAGATAAGGAAGGGTGGCGTGAACACTGTCCCCAATCATCACGCCAGCTCCGGATGGATGTGACCAGCCTCCGGTGTTGAACCGGGTACATAGTCGCCACTTGTGAACTGATTTACACAGCTTGAGTAGCTTCGCGATACTACCCCACATTCAGCAATTGCCGTCGGGGGTAAGTCGCGGTTGATCCGACTTACCGAGGATCCCAATCTCGAAATAGCGAGCGCATCTCCTCCACATTTCCCGCCACGGTACTCGCCTTCGAATCCTCCGGGATATCATCAGGAGTAAGAAGGACGATGTTGAAGAGCTCCTTACTCAGCGGATAAGCCACTGCTCACGCAATCAATCACCATCCCATCTAAGGTCCAGTCTTGCAAAACGACTTACCCACGTGCTTTTCCGGCCCATACCAGAAATTCATATTCGGGTGCGTGACAAACTCCGCCAGCTCGGGATCCTTTACGATGTCCGGCGACGCCAGCATCACCCGGTAAGCCAGATCCCCCGTCTTGGTCGGTGGCGTCGGATGCTCCAGCACCTGATCAGCCAGTTTCCCAAAAATGCCATCCGCCCCGATGAACAGGTCCGCCGTCCACCGTCGGCCATCTTCGGTGGTAATCGTGGCCGTCCCTCCCTCGGCCCCATCGAACGCGACATCCACAATCTTCGCATTGCAGGTAATCTTCCCTCCCAGCTCGGCGATCCGTTCCAGCAACGTCCGCTGCAGATAGGGTCGGTAGAAGGCCCGGAACCAGGTGCCTGGGTATGCGCTCGCGGCCTGCGCCACGTTCATGCTCGTGATCGGATTCCCTTTCCAGCCGAAGACGCGGTAGGCATTTGCCACGGCCCAGTGTTTGCTGAGCCGCTCCTCCAGGCCCCAGTGCTTCAGCACCCGCGAGCCGTTGGGGAGCACCTGGATGCCGGCGCCGACATGTTTGATCTCGGAGGTGGCCTCGAGGATGTGTACATTGTGGCCCGCGAGCAGGCTGCTGATGGCTGTGCCTAGGCCGGCTATGCCGGCGCCGGCGATGATGATCTGGGTTTCTCATGGACTTAGTGGATATAATCGTGTAGGGGCGCGTTGGTGACTCACGTCTAATTTGCACGAGGGCTCTCGTGTTTCTTGCTGCTTGATGTGATACGAGGCGGCCATGATGGTTCGAACTAGAGGATGTATTGTTGCAAACAAGCTTCCAGGATACAGTTGGACTCGTCGACTTCATGAAATTGCCATTTGGTCGGGTTGGAAACCTAGTCTGCCACGACAGATTGCCGAGCGAAAGTGTGCGACGGGGGCAGTTGCGACCCGCATCGTCCCTTATACCACCTGTACCCCATGACATCAAATTCGGTAAGGTTGAAAAGGCGCTCAACCCAGCGATGTCTGAATATAGAGAGTGTTCTGGAAAGCCTAGCGCCACCCGTAGCCTCTGAGATCTAATGCGGGCGTGACATGGCAATCTGCACGGGGTAGCGTTGGCGGCAAGGGGCTGAGGCTACCACCGTACCTTGCGAGAGCTGATGGGGAGCTTTAGCCCGATCTTTCTGTCTGGTTGGTTATAAAGTGGATCACCCTAGGGTCTCGTTTCTGGTTGTGCTGCAAAAGCGCAGTTACAGCTATTGTCTTGCGCCAGAGACATAATGCGGTGAATGAATTCGTCTGGCCCAGAACAAATTAGGTAGATTCATTCCCCAATTATGACTAACACTCGATCTATCTTATACTCATAGCATCGAACTTCTACATAACTCTGAATTCCATGCCTACATATTATGCCTTGAACCTTTCACTGTACGTAAGTCCTGCTCTAGTGCAGTTCTTGCATCCTTTTCCAAGGTGGTGGTCATGACCTGCTGACGCCTGCTCATGGAGCAAGGGGCATTACATTCCAATAAACCGCATGACCCTTGAGAGGCATTGAAGACCTGCCGTGACCGATCAAAGCCGAACGCGCTCTGGCCCAGTATACTCCACATTCAACAAAGAAGCCTAATCATATACCCTTTCGGGATCTGACCCTTTATTTCCACATTGAGTACACGAGGGCCGTGGTTCCATACTCCTCACCAGTATTGCAATTGCACCTGGATCTGTACACGTGCCACAAGCATGCGTCCTCATCCAGTCCTACAGCGCCTCGGAAATGAGTACCTATTATGATGATATGAAGATGTTAATTTGAGCGGAGATATCAATCGCTACGCTAAGCCACACTATTGTACAGTAGATTGCAACAAAGGTACAGCCCCCACAGAGTCAGCATTCGCTCACTCGCGTTCAACCTTCCAATCCCGCAAAAACCGCCAGCGGGCCGTCTCCTTCCACCCGGCCGCCTTCCACCCATTGGCAGTCGCAGGGAATCTCTCCACCACCCCCTCCAAGCTCGTATCGTGCGCACACACCACAAAGACATGGCTCGCGCCGTCGAACTCAGCCAACGAGCCCACACTCCGCTCCGCTTCCTCTGGATCCGCCGCCACGCTTCTCCCGTTGGGGAAGATGTGAACGTGGTAGAAAGCAGAGGTTTGGTACTTCTCGGGGAAGGGGTGGATCGCCGCGAAGATCTCGCCGGGGCAGGGCACCGAGACACCGGTGTAGGGGCTGGGTGTGATCTGGTCGGGCAGGGGGACATGCTCCGAGGGGCGGAGTTGGCCCGCGTGGTGGATTGTGTCCGCGCCCATGAGGATGAATGTGTCCGAGCTGATTGCTTCGCTGTCATTGCCATTCCCATTGCTGCTGGTGGTGCGGGCTAGACCGCAGACATGCCCGACCGCGTGGCCTGGCACATTGAGGAGGTAGAACGAGCCGTCCCCGAAGTAGTCGTGGGCTCGGAACCCACCGATCTGGAGGGTGAACTGCTCCGGGGGGATTTCCACCAGTGCACGCCCGGCGACATCCGACTCCAGCAGTTCACTCGCTGGATTGGACGGGTAGGCCGGCAGCGAGGCAGCGGATACACCTGGTCCGACCACTAGCGAGGTTGTAGACGGGAAGGTGGAGGCATCGCCTACGTGGTCGAAGTGCGTATGACTTTTGTGTTTCGGACTCATGGTCAGCGATTGCTTCCTTTTCTGGGGGATTCGAGCTCGGATTTACCTCCAGATTATCGCGTCGATGATTTCCAATGCGATGCCATGGTCGGTCAAGATCTCGGCCACGTCTTTCTCGATGGTTATGCTGAACATGGCCTTCAGGCGATCGTACAAGGGTTTCGCCAGGTTCTCCCAGTCCTTGCGGATGCCCAGATCGAAGAGAACCCGTTTGTTCTGGGACTTGTTCTCGACCAGGAATGCATACGCGCCGGCGTTGAGGTCCTTGAAACCACCAACTTCTGGTGTGAGAAAGATTCCAGGAGGACCATGAATTCTGGCGGTTGTGTCGATGATGCTCACTTCGACGGTGTTGCCTGAGGCAGGGGTGTTGAGGTCTATTTGGGGCATATTGTGACTGGATGGTGTAGTGATTGGTGTCAAATGATTTCATTGTTCTGCCTGATATAGTGGCAGGATGCATGTTCCATCTTATACATTTCGCAACGGCGCATACTTCCTTCTGGAGATACCTACTCAATGTTTGTCAATGAGCCGAACAAGGAAGCTATGGGGATTGGTCAGCACCGGAATATGTCGGGAAGCGGAAGATACCTTACCTATCCTCGTGATGCCTCAGCCTAATAGCTATCGATCGATGGGGCCGATGGCGCGCGGGTGGGTGAAAGAAGATCAATGATACGAGGAATCATAGGTACACCCCAGTCGCTTTGTTGGCGGATCACCGGATTATGGACCGGATAAAATGGCCGGTGAGTCAGATCTCCACCGAAGAGCCGCGATAGCGGCCAGAAATAGATCAACTGGGGTAAGCTCTGCAAACTATGGTGCCACGACCGCCCGATCGGAGCTTGTTACTCGTAGCATCCGAAATTCCCCACATTGACTTAGAGGTTGTGGCGAAGCTTGGACTTGTGATCCAGCTTGTGACCATAGAAGTGCACAGTCCTCGTCCATGCACCTGCCGCTTAGCCGTGCTCCCCTGCTTTCCCACTCAACCGAACAACCAACATCACCTTTCTCCATAAACCTGCAAATCAAAAATGGACAAGAAGGTAGTTGAATATTGCATAGGATATATTACCTAGTTCGAGGCTGCGACGGATCTTCACGGCTCGTATTCCACACGGTTGAAGAAGTATTCACTGACATTGGGCTGCTTTGTACTGCACATGAGAATGCACTTGATAAGGCCTTTTCTCGCATGACATGGTGCCCAGATGAATACCTCTAGAGATTCTGCTGCCTTTTCACACCAGGTCTCAGCTACAGGGACGAGGGCGATTAAATGTTCACTGATTCAATAACGAAACCTTTGTTAATATAATACATTAAATAGACCACGGAAGTTATTCGTTCGTCAGGGGCTACATTGTGACATTGCACTAGTATACAGCAAGTCACCGACTCCTATCTTTTGCTTCTATATGCAGCACAGGAACCATCGGGTTATTTGTCTCTTTTTGCAACCCACAAACCAAGAAAACGATTCTAGGGGCAGGATAAAGGTCTGTCCTAGTAGATGTGTAGCGGATAGCTAATCCGATTTTTGCCTAGGTTCTCTACTGTCCTAAGCGACAAGACTCCTTGGTCCTCGCCCGAGTCTCTTGTTGTTCGTGCAATCACAAATTATACGTACAATCTATACACTCTAACCTTCTAGGATAACAGTATTACTCTTTGCTCTCTCATTCCCAATCTCGTTTCGACAGAGAAAGTGACCGACACCAAGCTCAATCCGACGATGCGCTAATAGTCCTCCGAGCCACCTGCACCTCCGGCGAAAGCCCCTTCAACACCTCCGCCAGCTCATCAGCTGCGCTTTCCAATGCTTCATCCGAGACCACCTCCCCCAAGGCATCAATAATGAACAACACCCGGGTCGTCTCATCCGTCAACGCCGTCCGCGGACCCTGCCGCCAATTCCAGCGCCGACAGGTGATCCCCGTGCTGTCGCACCAGATCGGCTCCCCCGGCGCCGCCAGCTCCGTCTGCGGCTCCCCGCCGGAAAAGGTCTGGAATTGCTCCGTGCCTGTCGCACGGATGAGGAATGGTGCCCCGTCGTACCTGTCGAGATCCTCGCCTCCAAAGGGTAGCTGGTGCTTGATGGAGATGGCGTTGTAGATGTCCGTCAGACGGTTGACCCGGGGCAGACCCGCCTCGACACGCCGGGTCAGCGCTTCCAAACTGTTCCGGGTCTTCTGGGGTTTGGCGCCGAAGGCCTTGTAGGTGTCGCGCCATGCGGCAATGTGCGGAAGCTCGGTGACGGACTTGCTGGCTAAGAGTTCCTTGACATTTGCTTCGGCTTGTTCGAGGAGGGCCTCGCTGGTTTGGTCGCTGGGGCCTGGGGGGATGTTCTCGACCACCATCAGGAGGGCGCGGTAGTCGGGGCGGAGCTGGAAGATGGCCGGGTCGACGCGCGCGGCCTTGAGTAGGGCTTGGGCGGTTCGTGTGGTACTCATTATGAGCAAGTGTCAAGATTGAGAGTCTTGAAAGTATGGGTCCTCGGATGCAGAGAAGATTGAAGTGCAAAAGGGGGGGGGGGGGGCTTGATGCCCTACAAATACTGGTATATATACAAAATGGCGGCAAAGCGCCAAGACCGGGGGAAGAATCTTGGGTCGCCCCACTACCCTTAACTTCTCTTTCGGGAAGGCCCCCGATTGCCCCCCGGCCTCGAGTCCGGCAAGATCTCCGCGGTAGCCGGCCGCGAATGTCATCGGACAAAGCACTACCGGCTTCTAATTCTCGGACCCGATCATCCTGGCAGCTCATGTGAAATCCCAGCCTGCGCTGGAAGCTCATGCGCCTTTACCACCCCTTGATTGCCTTCCAATTCATATTTCCTGGGTGCGCCACTCGCCCCATCCAGCTCCGAGATTGCAAGAACTTGCGCACGAGCCGGTATCTCCTCCGCACTTTCACTGCTCCTCTTCTTCCTAGCCCTATAGATCAGGTACAAGCCCATCAGCCCCAGAATCACAGCAGCAGCGCAGCCCGCTCCGATCCCTGCTTTCGACCCCATACTTAAACCACCCTTTGAGCCCGGATCGATCATTGCAACTTCCGTGCTGGATGCGGTGGGTAATACATCGGCAGAGGTAGGCGTGACCTGCATTGTCGAGCTTTCATCCATGCTTGTGACGACCATGGTGGGTGTGCTTATGGTGGTAGTGACCCGATCGAAGGTCGAAGTCGTCGTACTCTCACTGGCATTTGATGGCTGCCCCAGGGTCAGCTGAAATGTTTCCGACAGATACATTTCATCGCCAAAGGTATAACGCAAGTACCATCCGTCGGCCATTGTGAATGATCTTCGCAACGTATAGGTGCCTGCAGTGATATTCACTTCGTCAACAGTATGCTTATTCCCTCCTCAAAGTGCGAGATCTGGAAGAAAGCGAACTCCATAGGCTCCTTGATCGAGTCCGATGAATGTAGGTCCATGTTCTGGTGAGACCGTCGTAGATGCTGACGATGTCGCCTTTGCGAGGGTAGGTAACTTCAAATCCTGGATGGATCAAACAATTCGAGGGATCAGTCTCCGTTGTATGCGTTGTAGGTGAAGAATGATGAGTCAAAAAGGGTGGGGTCCAGGGAAGGCTCTGTTTTCACATGAAGCTAGAGATAAACTAGTGCAAGAGTTCAGGGATGTTCAATCATCGTCTGGGTTTGGGATTACTTCGGTTAAATTAGCATTGTCTAGCCGTGGTAAGCATTTAGACAAATGGCGAGGAGGGGGTGGAGAATGCTTGGGCCATGAAACTCACTAAGAACACTTAGATTTCACCGGGAACTGAGCTAGCACGCCAATCGACTGCTCAATCGTTCCCTCACCTGGAGCTTCATTATACAGCGTCGAAGGTGCTGTCATTGATAATTGTCCTCGAACAGCAATGCTGCGAGGCACTGAAGTGGACCTTCTTGCTTCCACACCGGCACTGGAAAGTACTTGTAATAATATGCAACTCGATTTGAGCCGGAGGAAGGGCCCGGGGTGGCCAGTTCGGCTGGACCCCTGTTTCCCCCGATATCAAGCCCTAACCTTATATAGATCGAGCTAAGAGAAGCTAAGCTAGGCTACCTAATTTAGTGCTAGATAGCATCTTCCCAAGTCCTTGGCACAGCATGCCGTCTCCGACTTGTGAGATGCTCCCAGGTTCAATTCTCCAATAAGCCCTAGGTTAAATGTACTTTATTCTTGTGCCTTGATTCCGGCGAGTTCGAGTGGCAACTCCGAGCAGCGACATCGACACTGATGAATCTTGACTATACCCTGGGTACGTACCGAAGTGAAACAACACAATAATGAGAAGTCGAGACATCATAGTTGGTGCTCTTACGGAGATCCATTGTACATGAAGTATATCCTCCACCAGAACGAGAGATTCGGTTACTCACAAAGTGCGAATCGACCATGGTCATCCCTAGATAGCGGCTGCATATAGCACAGCTCCGGTCACAATGGCAAATAAAGTCGACACTATCAAGACATTGGGATCTTTCCTGGATCTTGTACTTATCATTGAATATGTAGTAGCCAGTCATTGGATCATAGATATTACCCATATCTATGCCCGCGGCGGATTGCTCTACAAGATATTAAACCTCGGGCAGAGGACGCAACAAGCGTCGACAATCGGTTTGATAACAAGACTGCCGACACCGTGATTTAGATATAGCCTTAAATGCGACCTCTATTCCCCCACATTCCTAAGGTCAATGCTTGACAATCTCAAGGAGCGGCTGGCTGAGATTATTAAACTTCAATAGAAACTCTCTGTATTTTCAAGGTCTGGAAGAAAGAAATGGACCCGCTGAGGATTCTCACCTTTCTGTCTGCCATTATCTGCCTGCTGCTAGCCCTCCAATGGGGGGGGGGGGGGGGCGCACAACGTACCCCTAGGGAAGCGGCCGCATCATCGGCCTATTCATTGCCTTCGGTATTCTTTTCCTATGCTTCATCACCATCCAACTTTACGCGGGCGAAAAAGCGATACTCCCGCCCCGACTCCTCCGCGGGCGCAACATCTGGGGCTCAGCCCTATTCAGCTTCTGCCTGAACCGCGCGATCTTCATCTTCGTGTACTACATAAGCACCTAGTAAAAGCCTCAATCAAGCCACATCAATACCCCAACTAACCTCAACCTACCGCATCTCAGCTCCCAATCTGGTTCCAGTGCGTGAAAGGAGCCTCAGCCACCGAGTCCGGCGTGATGAACCTTCCGCTGACCCTCTCCAACGCCCTGCTGGCCATGGGCTCCGACCTCCTCGTCACCGCCGCGCGATATCACTACAGCCCCGTGATGCTCATGAGCGCCGGCCTGACCTGTATCAGCGCGGGGCTGCTACCAGGTATTTTTCGGCCGGGCGGCGGGGCTGGGCATTCAGCTGCCCGTGTTCGTGGTCCAGACCACCCTCCCGACGACGGATATTCCCACCGCCGCCGCGCTCATGGCCTTTTTGCAGGTGCTGGGCGGCGCGATGTTCTTCTTCGTTGGCCAGAATGTCTTCCAGAATCAGCTTGTCGCGGGGCTGCTACACGCGGACTTGCCGGTGGAGTTGGATGTGCAGGCGGTTCTGGGGGCAGGGCCGGCTGGGCTGCGGGAGATTGCCTCTGAAGATACGCTGGTGACGTTGCTGGCGGTGTATAATGTTGCAGTGGTCCGGACGTTCTATGTCGCTGTTGGTTTGGCGATGGCTTCGGTGCTGGGGGCGGCGGTTGTGGAGTGGCGACCGATCAGCAAGGAGAGGCGGACAACATGGACTAATCATAGTGTTCTGAAGATCAACTACAGATACCACCAGCGATAGTTTTGGTAGAAGATTGCTCGGGACGAAAGAGGCCGAATTCGCTTCAATCTACAGTATGGAATCAGATTGAGCAAAAGTCAATGTGTCAGTCAAGAAGCACCACGTTGATAGCAGATAGGTCAGATAATAGTAAAGAGAATGCTTGTGATCAGCAGCACCAGCAGGACCAATGTTACCCCACCCATTGCCCCATCCATATCATACGCGAATCTTCCAATGCCACTTATAATCCAAACACGCCCATCGAGCCGTCAAGAAAAGGAACATCGCTAACACAAGGACGCATCCTAGCCAGACGATCACGATGCGGGATCCGACTTTCTCGAGCATTTCTCCGCCGACGGGTATGGAGATCAACACGCTAGTAGCTTGGTCAGATATTCTGTCTTTGGATTGGCTGCGATGTGAGGAAAGACTTACGCAAAGCTCACCAGTGCATAGCAGGTCCCGAAGCGCATCCCAATCTCCTTTGCCGGCGACACCTGCCGGATGCACACCGGTGCGAGGCTGAGGAAGGATCCGGAGCTGAGGCCGTACAGCGCGCTGAAGAAGTACAGCGCTGTCATGGAGTGACTGAACGGGTACAGGATGATGAAGATGGCCAGGATGCCGAACGACACCAGGACTAGGAGGGTGTTCAGCCGGCCGTACATGTCGCCCACGCGGCCGGCGACAAGACGCCCGATGACCGAGCAGCTTTTTCCAAAAGTGAGGTTAGTACAGGGGGTACACCTCAATGAGTACGGTTGGGGGGAGGCTCGCTCACATATTGAGGACGACGAGCAGATTGACACTTGTATTCACGCTGAATCCCAGCGCCACAACGTAGGTCGGGAAGAGGCCAAGCAGGGCGAAGGTTTCGAGTTCGAGGACTAGATGATGAGTGAGCCAAGCATAACAACCGGCAGATGAGGAAACAAAAGAAAGACTTACACCATATCCCCACCGTGAGCAGCGAGAACCTCGAGTCCTTGAAGCACCTCGCATCGATAGCCGTTTTCAGCTTGTCCCCCTTGGGCAACCGCGCCTTCACCAAAAAGGACCCCATCCCGCAGGCCGCCAGAATCACAAAAGCGAGAATCCGCATCCCCCAACGGAACCCGAACCTGGCGAAGGATGCTTTCAGAAGGAAGGGGAACACGACGCCCCCGAGTCCCGCACCCACCAACGCCGTCCCCATCGCCATCCCGATGCGCGCCTGGAACCAGTGCGGCACGCAGGCCAGCGCGACCGTACTCACCAGCGCGCTCCCGATCCCCGCCATGATGCCGAAACTGAGGATGAACTGCCAGTACTGGGTACACTCCGCGGTGAGGAACAGGGCGACGACGTAGATGGTGGACCCGGCGATGACCAGGGCCTTGGGGCCGTAGGTGTCGAACAGCGGTCCGACAAAGACGCCCCCGGCGAGCATCATGAACATGTACAGGCCCGGTACCCAGCCCACGGTGCTACTTGTGTAGCTTGCGAGCTGGTGGGTCTCGAGGTGGGATTGCAGCACACCCACCGAGTTCATGAGGCCGTAGGAGGCGAGCACAAGGAGAGAGGACCCCAACACCACCAGCCATGATCTAAGGCCGCCGTCGGGAAAGTGCTCATTGATGTCGGAGTGGCGCATCAAGCTCGTTGTGGAGGTGTCCACGAGCTGGAGCTCGAATTCGGGGCCATTGGTGTTTCGTGCGACGACGACATTCTCGATGTCGGTCACATCGACGCCCGAGCGAGAGCAGGTGGGTTCTTGAGAGGTTGGTGCTAGCTCCATGGGCTTTTTTTGGGTGAGCTCGTGCGGTTGATGGGAGCTTGTCTTTGTGTTAACACCCTCTCTCATTGATCAGACACTTGGTGGAATAAAGATTCTGATTCTTCAGGCATTAAGCGGGGTCAAATTTTTATAGACTCTTTTTCTTGCGGGGGCTCCACTTCTCAGGGCTTGCAATCCCGAGATCCCGATGCAGGATTAGTGGTCCTACCCAGACCATCGGATGGCCTTCCGATTGGCACATATCGCCGTATCAATCAATTTATCAATACCATCTTTATCCATGTGAGTCATGACAGATAGTTAAGTTACACATTCCTCAAGCGAATTTTCTCGGCGGATAGCGCGTCCTTGATTCGTGCATCCCATACTACTCCATATCCTTCCCCTCCATTCATAGGTAAAGAAGTCGACAATAGTAACATAACAAACTGTACAGTACATACATCTCAAGCAACAGCAATTCCCCCATCCCCAGCCCACGATTACCCTAGCAGCAACAACACCCATCATCATCCTTGTTATTATTACTATCCCCGCAGCATCCCCCACAGCACCCATCGCAACATCCATCACAACACCCACCACATCCCCCACAGCAATCATCGTCGTCATCGCTCTTCTCCATCCTCGGCGCCTCTGGCGCCTGATACCCGGTATACTGGGTGGTCGTCGCAACATCGTCCCCGGGGTACGTCATATCATTGTTGTCCACATATCCGCGGTTGTCATCATTGTCACGATTGACATCATCGCCAGACCAGTAATCCCCATCGTCTCGGACATATTGCCCGGAATCCCGGTCGTCGGGGTTGTTCTCCCGTAGCTCGATCGTTTCGTTGTTTTGGGTCCATTCGTTGTAGATCACCGCGCCCCCGAGACCGGCTGCTGCACCGGCTGCTGCGCCGGCTAAGATTGGGGTTCTGCTGTGCGGGTGGCTGGTGTGCGTTGTATGAGTGGGATGAGTGGGATGGAGACTGTGTTGAGGGTGTGGCGCGGGGTGGTGAGCGGTAGGGTGGTGAGCGGCGAGGTGGTGCTGTGGAGCGTGGTGAGGCTGGTGAGCTACCGGATGAGGGTGCGCTGCTGCATGTGGCTGCGCTGCTGCGCGTGGGTGAGTTGGGTGTGAGTGTGCTGCCGCATGCTGGCGTGCGCTTGCGGCGTGGTGAGCCGGTGGATGGCCATGAGCAGTCCGCAGGCCGCGAGACTGGGCGTGTTGGTGCTGGCCCTGCTTGGTATGCGCAGGTGCGGGGCGGGTCGTGCGGCCCATGGCTCCGAGAGATGGCTGTGTCAGAGAAACGAAGAGAGAAGGATTTGTCGCTGCGTTGGATGCGCACTGTGTATTGTTCAATTCTCAGGTGATGGGCTGTACCACAACTGCGGGGGGTGGGTTAGGGCTACTGCTGCTGTGCCCCGAGCGGAAACTGCGTTGACGTCGGGGTCTCGGTCCGTATATAACATCCCACCCCCTCTCTACTCCCCCTCCCTGGACCTCCTACTAAAGTTACCATGTGCGAGGCTTATGAATCGTATCGCGGAGATTACGATACATTAATGTGCCTCTGAATAGAAAGGTTGAACCCTGCCATTGCCACATTCGAAGGACGAACAAGAATCTCCGCCCCCATCTTGGCAAGATGGAGAAGTAATGGCCATCGGTGCAACCTCCAACAGCGGACACGAGACAAGCAACCCTGCTCGGCACAAACATGGGGTTGCAGGGTCGATTTCTGAGGTGCGGCTGAGAGACGGCCCAGTAGCTTGTGAAGTCCAAGCTCGTATCTGCATGGGCAACGGGAAGGATGGACTCTCACCTCGGAAAGCAAACGCCACAAGCGCCCATCCAGGGCCAAAGCACCAATGCACGTGGGGCTTTTCTGGTGGCGATGCGTCTAGATTGATGCCAGGGACGGGATGATGCTCTGCGTCTGACCATGCCAAGACAATTTGTAAGGCATCCGTGCAGATAGGTTAAGCAATATTTGGAGAGAGGGAGGGGCGAGGTTGAATGCTTCGACGGGCGGATGCTTGATAAAAGAAGGGCGCGGTATTTCGCATTTCGATGGAGGGATTGGAAATCAAGGATTGGACAGTTGTGCCAACTCGTAGCACCCTGGTATCAATAAGCACAATGCAGCCGCGATCGAAGCAAACATGGAACTTCGACGGTGGTATTCTACAATCCCTGGTGCGAATGAGGGTGCTGGTCTGTTGACATGATGGACAGAACGAGTCATGGTGGGTATGAACATTGGAACTGGGTCTGGAACAAGACTGCCAAGAAAAGCAATGTTTTCTTCCGCTCACGGCTTGAGCGTGACCATGATGCCTCGGCGGACAATCTCTTCAAGCGCTCACGGGAGGGGGCAAAAAAACAAACCTAAAAAGAAAGTGGCGCTGCCCGGAATCGAACCGGGGCTGGCACGGCCACAACGTGACGTCATACCACTAGACCACAGCACCTGTTGTTGTGATATCGGCATCAAATTACTGAACTATGTGTAATGTTGTGTATACTTCCAAATGTGGCTTCTTGGTCTTGCCATTGAGGACAATATTGTCTATTTTTCCAACACTGGCGAGTGGTTTGGGCAGGTACTATATAACACCATACATAGGCATAGTCCAGATGGTTTTCTCTTGGATTGAGCACTTGAATTGGACTCGATTTCCTGCATTGCGTCTTGACAAATATCTGCCTGTGGCGCCTCTTCCCGGCTGTATATATTTCCTCCAGCCTCCATGTCGAGGATGGGACACTACCCCGTAAAACATGCAACATCACAGTCGCACTGACGCGTAACCACAACCAGCAACCCGATAGCATGTAATAATGTCAATGCGAAAACACTAGCTGCTGTTGTCCCATAACATGGCATTGAGCAGCATTCTATACCCGACCGCCGAACGCGATCACGTGACACAAAGCGAATGCCCATGGGCTCTCGGTGAACGAGACTGCGCTCAGTGACATAGTCTCTTGACTCTGGCCCAGGCAGTCCAAGCTCATACCACCAAAGACCCTGGGAATGCTTCTCTGCTTGGTTGTAGTAGTGTATGTCATTATACCACACCCCGCGAAGACATCCATTCCCATAATGCCACAACCAGACAGAACACCAAATAACACCCTGGGATGAGCCCATGCCACCAATACCACGAGGATGGGAACCACAGAACTGGGAAGCCATACAGCACAAGAGCACTCTGTAACGGATGTCGAAGCCAACGCGAGCGGTGGCCGAGCGTGTTTGCAATCGCGAGCGACAGTAAAATGACCTCTACCAATCCTGCCACAGGGAGAAGTAGAAACCCTAGAACTTGCCCGAAGCCGTAGCCAAAGCCAAACGTGTCAAAAACTCTTACCACCGACGAAGACCGCCCCAACCAGGAACACAATGCATATAAAGATACAGTAGAGGACTGAGATGCATAGGGTTGAGTGGTGCGACTGCCAGATATCGCTTTGAAAGTCGAGGTGACTGAGGTGCGGGAGTGAGGATGGATTGGAAGGCGTAATGACTGGGGTCGAGATTTGGACAGGCAGAAGCTGCAGAGTAAGATTCTCCTGGCTGGTTGCATCCTGCGATGGCAGAGCGGTGTGCTTGGCGCCTGTTGAGCACGGTCAGCTTGAGTCTCTGTATGATCGATGAAAATTCGATCTGCGAGGGTACGTGTCGATACCTTTTCCAAGAAGCTTATAGAAAGATTGGATGATGGTGAGCATAGGCCCTGCAACGAGTACCACAGCAATGACCTGCCTAAATGTCCAATCATCCTCCTCACCACCTGGAAAGCCCACAGGGCATTCTGTTACCCAGATACCGAAAAGAAGACGGAGTACTCCCCAGATGAAAGCGACGAGCAACCAGATTATCTGTCTCCTGTCAGTGTCCATTGGAAAGGGGCTTCGGAGACGGGATCATAGACCTCCGCAAACATAGAGGTGAACCCTTCGACGAGAAGATGAGCGGTCAGGATCAACGCCAATGTTGGAAGGTAGAACAGAGTGGACTTGAGCCCCCGGGGCGATTTTGCTGCATCAGACCAGTCATGCACGTACTTCAAGCCGGCATGTACCCAGAGCCTGAGTCCAATTCTAAATCTTCCCAGCCAATCTACCGAGATCGACTTCGAAAGTCGGACAGTCCGAGAGATGAACGAGAAGATGATTAGGAGCACCGCAAGAAGCATCGATAAGAAGCCCTCCGTTGCTTCGGGCTTGGCTAGAAGGAAGCATGTGGCAGCGTCGTCGATCGCCGGAGGAAACCCCTCACTCAAACCATGACTATCGCACATCGAATCCTTGTCAGAGGAATTAGGAGGCAGGGGTATGTGTCTATCGGTTATCCAGTTATAGTTACCAGTAAACCTGAGACCGATCACCAGGAACAGGCACAGTGCGCCCACAAAAAAGATGCGCCATGCGCGGTCGCCTGAATGATTATGGAGATAGTTCCGTAATATCGTTAGGCAAATCAGATTCGTCATGACGGAGAATCAGGCAAGACTGATGACGACGTTCCAGTTAAATGTAGACAATCCGCCCTGAAGCTGTGAGGTCCCAGTGATGAGAATGGAAAATCCGGTCAACAGTTGCATGCCACTAAATGCTAGAATACACTTTAGGCTATTAGCGAAATATGCCACCGGATGGGTGCTACCGGCGAACTTGCACAAACAGACTTTTAAAAATGCCTCATCAAGCCCTACAGGGAGATACCGCGATCTCAGTGCACGAATGCGTTGTGAGATAATCAGCTTATCCACTGGATTCGGGAGATATGCTCTCTGGAGATGCCCCTGTTTCGAGTTCTCGAAGGGATCGGAGTCTGGATCAAAGACCAATAGGTAATACAGCACAAGAATGGCTGCCACGATCCCGGCAGTGATGAGGTAGCTTAGCACGACCTTAGAGAGAGTAAGCAAGGCATCATTTGTTTTTTTGGGGAGGATAGACCTACACCAGTTCCTGTGATGTCAGAATTCGCACTTAGCCCTGGCTTGGGCCCTTTACAGTCGCCATTCCAGGAAGTGCCCATTGTTGCCCCGCAATAGAATCATTGGGATGGATTAGGCTCACGCAGGCTCCATACCAGCTGGATAGTGCTTAAATGAAGACAATCCGACCATCCGATGAATGATGGTCCAGAAGAAGCCCTAGCTTCCAAGTAACTAAAAGGTCGATTCGCTGAAAAGCCTCTTATGGGAATCAACCGAATCTTAAGCTGCGTCCGGGGGAAGAGGTTTGCTCACCTTGGTTTCGCACAGGCCGCCTGAGCAGCGCTGCACCTGATAGGGTTGGCGCAGCCACGGCGGTCATCTCATCGGCATGTCCGACTGGCTGTCGCCATTGAACTTTGTTTGCCTAGAGACTGTGGGATTAAAAGCAAAAATATACCCGAGTCTACTCAACATAGCTAATGATCTTCCAAGAAGCCTGAATGTACTGTACTTCGGAGTCGTTATATATGCTCGACTTCTTCGAACAAGCAGGGCAGACCTTGGCATATCTATCACTGTACTTTAGTATTTAGGGTCATAATCTCTGCTCTAGAAAGTGTCTAGTCCTGACAGTGGCGTCAGCCGCATTCATAATCTAATGTTATGATTGGGCGAGTTGGGTCACCGACACAAATAAGGATCATCAAAAACACAAACTCCACAAAGCTGTTTCTTCACTGAATGAGGCTCTGAACCGAATGGCATGATTGAACTACAGGAAACAGGCCAACATAGGGATGACTTCATTGGTGGTGCGGAATCACAATATAAGCGGCCAACACGACCACAGCTGCAGCCGCAAGCCACCCTAAGCACTATCTCAAGTAAACAATCAGCACCAAGGCACGATATTGTATTGAGTTCTGTTCATATCTATCAACAAAGTCATTGTATCAGTCATGTCGAGTGAGGGATGATCGTTATGTTTCGGTCAAAAGTCGCTGACGATGCGGCTGGATTTAGGGTCTGACAAACCAGCTTCCATCCAACGTTTCCATCGCTCGTGTTTGGCGTTAGTAGGAAGCTGCGCCATCCGCTTGGCCGTTGAAGGTTGGTTTGAAGTTTCCCTTGGCGCTTCGATGGGCTGCCTCATTTTCAGCTTAATCACGAAGCTCACCATATCCCATAGACATAAAAAGCCAGAGGGCTATATAAAGTCTCATCACTTTCCTCTCTTGAACGGAGGACAACAGACAACAGGAAAACAGTGAAGCGACCTCGTTACTAAAAACAAACTTACCGCTCGAATCAGCTACGAGAACATAAGAACGCTCGTCTTCCAACATGACCGACTGGCTCAACAATCTCTACGTGTGTCTTCTTGCGCCCTCGTGAGCAAACCTAGCTAACCCCGCAAGGCCGTCTACGGCGACCACGAAAACGAGAAACCCAGCAACACCATCCCCGTCGTTGACGATAAGAACGGCGACATCAACGCGGGCTTCGGCGGGAAGTAAGCTCTGACTGCTCCAGCGTCACGTGGGTGTGTGTGTGCGGTGGCTGACCGTCCTAGGTACGTCTGGCTGGTGGCCAACTATCTCCAGGACCCGCAGAACTGCCTACACAACATCAAGGTGGTATTCTCGGACACGGAAAAGCCAGGCCAGATGGACCTGGCCAAAGGGGCCGGGGGACAATACCGCTACCTGGAGACCTCGACCGTGGCCGCGGACGGCTTCGGGATTTCGAACCTGAAGCTCCTGCGGAGCACGGATGAGATGAGCAGCACCGATCTGGGAGGGCGGGGATATCGCGGATGGACGACGGATATCAATGCAGGTCGGGGAGGGGATTATTTGTATCTGGTCTGGAGGAATGGTTGAGTACTGGTGCTTCATATGATTGAGGGGAGGGTATGGTGCTTCTAGGGCTCCGGCATAGGAATTACCATTTTGACTTTGATTATTTGACCCCGTCAATTGGGAGTCTTGGTCATATGTTCATCTGCAAACCGAACAGACAATTGAGTTGAAATTTTTGTGCTTTAGAACGGAGATTGCTATAGGGACCAGGCAGATTGAGACTGAGGAAGAGGCTCACTGCATGATCATGGATGGATAAACACACGGATAAACCCATGAATAAGTGGGTAGGGCAGAGTCTATCAGTCCCAGCGGACAGGCAAATACTTCGATAACAAGAATCAAAGCAAAGGATAGGGGAAAGAAAATGACCAGCTCTGCCGAGAGCTAGAGGAACTGGAACTAGATTTTTCTTCACATTTTGGGATTGCTATGACCAGTCCGTGGTAGGTTTGATGAGGGATGCATTTTTGGTATGGAAGTGAATGGCTCTCATGTGCGCGGGATTAATTCTCTCCCAGAAGTCCAGTTGTCAATCAAGTGGCCCAAACAGTTCAAGGCATAGGAATGAGGGAATGAGTCGCCCAAAGGGTTTCCCTGATTGAGCCAGGCTTGAAGCTGAGAGTGTCGGAGGGGGGCGGCAGAAACCAGGGTCGGCTCCACCCTCGGCCCGAGCTTTCTTTCTTTCTCCACTTTTTCCCCTTCCGAGTCTTCCAAGTTGCTTCCTGCTTTCCCCTTTCTCCGTCTCCATGCTTGTGGACTTGCAACAGAGAATCAATCAATCAATCAATCAATCAATCAATCAATCAATCAATCAATCAATCAATCCGCCACACTCATTGATCATGACATAGTGCTTGCGATATTCATCACAATCTCACAAGTCTCTTCTCGTCTGTTCAGTTCGAACACCCCCAAAATAGCATCAGCCGCTAGTGAGGCTCGCCGTTGTTTGAGGATCCCGGATTCCCAGCAACCCCAATTTTCGATCGTCTCATCATGAAACCCCCACCGTTCGCGCTCTGGGCCCGGGAACTCCCAAGAATTGGCTCGGATCAATCTTTTCCCTCACTGCTGCCCCTCAATTGCTCAATTGCACCCTCAAATCGAGCCTTCCGCATGTGATGTGGGTGAAAAACACCTGTTCGATCAAACAATTGGCCAATCCGCTAGTACTTCGTACAATCACGAAGATCCACACTTGTCTTCCGCGGGATTGTGAAGTCCCTCACGGACACACCGCCTCCGAGAGGCCCTCCAGGAGTCCAGGTAGGGAAGAACCCCGAAGCTATTGAAGTTTCGACCAAGCATCGACCCTCTTTCGCAGCCAGCTTTAAGGTTTAGCTCAGGAGGCTCTCCGGTCGATCCACCCGGGCAGGATTCCCTTCCAGCAGACTCGGGATGCAATAGGACTGCTCCCTCGGTCTAGTCGGAGAAAAAACTCTGTGCTAAGCACGCCCGATGACTTTGGCTCCGCACACCCTCGAGGGATAGGGACTATTGTCCCTACTCCAGAGTCCAGCCAAACATGTTCTTCGAGTGGAGTTTCTTCCCGAATCTACACCCTAAGAATAGCCACTTGCCCTGGGTCGGCCATTAACCCCGACCTTCTCCATCACCCGCGTCTCGGGCTGCTCTAGTAACCATTGTTTGGATTTTCCTTCTCGGTACAGCAGGCGTTCTATCCACGGTCTGCTCTCTCATATCCGGGAAAGCTTCAGGCACAACTCATTTTGGCCTTATTCAAGCTGGTGTCACTACTCTCGGCACCGTCAATCGCAATCAAGACGACCATGAGCCAACGGCAGAGACCACAACCTACTTTCAGGGCAAGTGTTCGAATGACTGATGGCCTGTAGTTGCTCTTCATGTTGTTCGCACACGGACCATCTCGTGAGACCCATCCAGAACCAAAGCAGAACCTGGATCTCTAGCGCGTTTCAATGCGACGGATTTGGAGTCTCCCCAGCCGGCCCCGTCGCTTCTTGCTACTGTGATGGTCCATTCCCCATCGCACGATGTACTTGTGCGACCGCTCGGCCTCAGGTCACCATCACGCAAGAGGAGTCCAGGCTACACATGGACCACATCGTGATCCCAACGGACCCCGGTCTAGTCTACCCCTGTCTGAGAACCACGGTCGACGGTTCCCTCTAAGCCAAGATGGTCAGGAACCTTACCTGGATGGTGCTTTTCGACTGGCAGGGATTGGCTTTCTGCCGTGATCTGGGCAAGAGAGTGAGATCCTCTTCGGGACGATCATAGACCCTCAAACACAAAGGGTTTCATGACCGCTTCTTGAAATAGATCATCCCGAACCTCATCCGGCCTCGAAGGCTTGAGAGACTCAAGATAAAAGGCGTCTTCATCCTCGCGTTTCTGTGCTTTTTTCCATCATCATCCTTCAACCACTTCTCTCTTTCTCTTTCTTTCTTCTCTCCTAAACCCTCAAAAAACATTGCTCTGGTAGCATTTCCTTCGTTCTCACACGATTATCTAGCTATAATCGTCTTCCGACTCACCTCGCTTCTTTCTTTCTCACTCTTGTCAACTTGTTTCAATTTGGTAAGTATACCGCCTCTTCTGCTCTGCGATCAGTGACTGACACCAGCAGAAATCACGATGCGTGTTTCTAAGGTTTCCGCCGCGACTGTGCTCGCTTCGACCGTCTCCGTCAATGCGATCCCCATCCCCTGTCTCCTTCCCTTCCTGAGCGGCGCTGGTAGCCTCTTCGGAAACTCGGGTCTGGGTGCCAGCTTGGGCGGCAGCGGCAGTGCTGATTTGGGCGCCAGCCTGGGTGCCGGTGCCAGCGGCAGCGGCAGCGGAAGTGCCGGTCTGGGTGCTGGGCTCGGAGGAAACGCGGCTGCCAGCCTTGGTGCGAACGCTGGTCTGGGCGCTGGTCTGGGTGCCGGCCTGAGCGGTCTCTTCGGCGGCAGCGGTAGCGGTAGTGCTAGTGCCACCGGCAGCGGCAGCGCTGATCTGGGAGCCGGAGCTGATCTGGGCGCGAATGCTGGTCTGGGTGCCAACGCCGGTCTTGGTGCTGGCGCCAGCCTTGGTGCTGGTGCTGGTCTCGGCGCCGGTGCCGCTGCTACTCCCTCTGCTGGTCTGGGTGCTGGTGCTGGCCTTGGTGCCAACGCTGGCCTCGGTGCTAGTGCTGGCCTCGGTGGTAGCGCCGGTCTGGGTGCTGGTGCCGATCTTGGCGCTGGTGCCTCTGGTGGTGCCTCTGGTGGTGCTTC